GTTGGTTGGTTGGTTGGTTGGTTGGTTGGTTGGTTGGTTGGTTGGTTTTATTTTTCCAGATTTTGGAGTGTTTACTTACGGTGAGACAGGTTGGTGATAGGACCCAAGTCTAAACATGAAATCCATCTGTGTATTTTGTATGTACACTACTTCTCCTGAAGGGAAAATTGTTGGAATATTTTTTAGTTGTTTTGTTGATGAAACAAAGTTCACAGTGCTGCATTTTTCTCTGGTGGAATTATATAAACACTCAGCTAGTTTCAGAATCTGGGGGTGGGAGGTTCTATGAAGAATTATTATGCTTATTCTGATCTTCCTTCCTGCCTCCCCCATACTGCCTTCAACATTCATACCCCAGCTTAAAAACTCTGATTATTGAGACAAGGTCTCACCAGGCTGGTCTGAAACTCCTGGCAGGCCTCCTGCCTCAGCCTCCCGAATGCTAAAATTAGAGCCATACACCACCACACCCAGCCCAAAACTGTCCCTTTTCTTACGACTTTTCAGCAGTTTTGCTGTCAAGTGACTGAGTGCAATTTCCATCATGTATAACCTGCTTGGGTTTGCTGAGTTTCTGGAATTTTCTAGTTTCTTGTTGACATTGTGGCTCTAGTTACTTAAATTTGCCCATTCTGCTCTTTTATATACTCTTTCTATACTCTATACTGTAGGCATATTTGACTACTTGATGTTGTGATTTGTTTTTAATTTTAAAGTTTCTCATCCTTTCCTCTCTCATATGCTATTAAGTCTGTCCAATCTATTCTTTCATTTTATACATTGTTCTTTTTGGTTTTAGATTCTTCTTTTTTTTTTTTTTTTTTTTTTTTTCTAAGTTTCTGTTTTGGCAGTTCCTATACGTCATTACTTATTGTGGCTATGATGTCCCTGACATACTTAAGCTACCTTAAGTTCCTTTAAAGTCTTATTAGCTAATCCCATCAGTGTCATAGAATCTGTTTCTGTTAGAGGCCGTGTAATAATAGCTCACATCTTCTGTATCTAGAAAAATTGTATTGCTGCTGAACGTTACAGATAACACACCATAGAGATTTCTGGATTATGTTATATTCCTCTAAAGAGTATTGACAGTTCATTTATTAGCCAGGCCCTTCTAGTATGTAGAGACTAATTTACATTTCACTGGGGCAAATCTGCCTTTAGCCCTCAGCAAGGTCTTTTTGTAATGTAACATAGGATTTACTACACTAACACATGGCCATGCTGGGGTATTAGACAGCCTGGGGTGTTGACGGAGCCTTTTAACTTAATGAGACTCAAACTCTGACCTGCTTCTTCTCTCCTATAGCAGCCAGGAGCTGAGATTTCTGCTCGTAACTCTCAGCCATACAACCACTGCTTCTGAGTCTCCTCTGTGTGTGCGTAGCATTCAGGAGTCAGACAAGAATGCAAGAGAACGTTAGCGTGCTGATGTAGTGGTTCTCTCTGGTGCTCTACCCTTGATGAAGCTTCCTCAAGTTTCTGCCATTTTGCCATCCACTTGTACTCGAGAGCTCATGTGGCTTTCTATCCATCTATACTGCCTTGTGCTACACCAATAAGGGTATTTGTGAGGGAAAGCTATGTAAATAATGTCTTTCTCTATGAAGGTCCCATCTTTTAAGAACAAGGCCTGTGTTTTTCTCTATTTTGTCACTGTCCAATACCTTTACATGGTCTTTTTTAGTGTATTGTATCCAGCTTCTCTAGGGTCTACCCATAGGAAGTTTGGTTTGAGTGAGCCACACTGCCATTATTGGAACTTCTCTTTCTCTTACTAGGTGAATGGTGGTAGGTTTCAAATCCTTCACTATTTCTTTCCTCTCTGACTATATTGCTTGCATCCCAGTCCTCAGCAAAATATTGAGATGTCTCTCATTTCTTTTTCCAGTTGTTTAGTGCGCTATCATTGAGTGATCTAGATTATTAAACAAGTGTCCCAGTGAGTAAAGGTTTTTTAATTCGTGGCATCAGATCGTACAATGGTCATGAAACAGGTGCTTTCCCTTTCTGTGAGCCCTGTATGCCATATTCAGTATTTCTTTTATTCGCTGCCTCGTGTGATGAGGGAAACCTAGTAGAATTTTAAAAAGAAAAAAAAAATCTCTATTTTCATGCTAACACAGTGTAAACCTTAAGGGAACCCCACCTCTTTTCTGACCCTGGTAGAGTCCCATTTCCCCTTTTCAGGTTCGTCACATAGACAAAGGTGATGTCTTTGACATCGTTTTGACACTAAGAAGTGTGGGTAAGCCTGTGACAAGAATAGGAATCAGCAAAAGTGCTCATTTTCCTGCTGAGACTGCCCCAGAAACACAAGGCCAGAGAACCCTTTGAAGGTAGATGTCAACTCATATATTTGCATGGGTAGACACTGGCCTGAGCATCGGCAAAGAGCCCAGATCACCTGGGAGTTGGTCCATCGTCAGCCAGTCCACAGCTACTTCAATCCTGGAGCTGTATACACTTCCTGTATTGTCCTCCGCAGCATGTGAATTCCAGTGTGATGGAGAGCATGTTGTTGGGGCGCCCTTGCATTCATCCTTCCTACTTGCCTCTGCTGGCTCTGAGCCTTGTAAGGTCTGTACGCTCGGGGACACGCTTCTGAAAGCTCTCTCAGACAGAATCACCGTTCTATAAAGGCGGCAGTCATTGCTGCCGACAGCAGGCTTGTGCTTCTGGTTTTGTGCCCTGGGATCTGTGTGACACAAAGTGCAGATTTTAGAATCTGGTTCTAATCCTTGACCCATCAGCCGAATAGTGTGGGGTAAGTAGCAGTGTATCTCCCTCCTAAGAATGCAAGTTTTAAATAATAAAGCCCAGCACCTAACACAGAGTCATCATTAATCGTCATTGTTAACAGCTGTAACTACACCTGGAAACGGAGATCAGGAAAACATACGCTCCCCAGAGCATCTGGAGTGAAACCACTGAGAACCCCTCCACCTCTGAAACCTGCACAGGAGAGTCAAGCAAGGACGAACTAAAGAAGGGCATTGGGTCCCTTGTGTTGGCAGGCACGGCCACATGCTAGATAGAATGTTTGTGGGCATTCCTGGCTTGTCTGAGGTGATTTCAAGTATGCTCTCAAGTGTTGTTTGAGTAAAGGGAAAGCCACGGGATCTGGGTTGAGAAGGACTCCATGCACCTGTACAGCTGCCTATAGAGCATTCCTGAAGTAGGGCTGCAGGCTCACAGGGGTCTGTGACTGTCTGTTCTTTTGCCCCATAGATAACTGTGTCCAGAGGCCGCCCAGGCCGCCCGCGGAGAGCGTGCACCACAACCCTCCCACCATTGAACTCTTACACCGCCCTAGGTCACCCACCACCACAAACCACAGGCCTTCTCCAGACCCCGAGCAGCGGCCCCTGCGGTCCCCCCTGGACAACATGATCCGCCGCCTGTCGCCAGCCGAGAGGGCCCAAGGGCCAAGGCTCCAGCAGGAAAACAATCACCAGGAGTCCTACCCCCTGTCCGTGTCTCCTATGGAGAATAATCACTGCCCGCCGTCCTCGGAGTCCAACCCGAAGCCCTCCAGCCCCTGGCAGGAGAGCACGAGAGTGATCCAACTGATGCCCAGCCCCATCATGCACCCTCTGATCCTGAACCCCCGGCACTCGGTAGATTTCAAACAGTCCCGGCTCTCGGAAGACGGGCTTTACAGGGAAGGGAAGCCCATCAACCTGTCTCATCGGGAGGACCTGGCTTACATGAACCACATTATGGTCTCCGTGTCCCCGCCTGAAGAGCACGCCATGCCCATCGGGAGAATAGCAGGTGAGTGAGCTCAACCCTCGTGCAGCCCCGCCCAGCCCGGCAGTAGCTGCCACAGCCAGCCTCGAAGCACTCCCAGTGTTATGTCACTGCAGAGGTTTGGGAGGACAAGTGGAAGCTTCTGCCTGCATGAGACAGAGTCCCTGATGGCCTGGTTAATGAGCCACTGGGAGGGAGTAGTTAATGAGCCTCAGAAATGTTAAGGAATGAATGTCCTCCATCCAGCTCACAAGGAGAGTCGCCTCAGGATCTTGGCTGAGGGAAAACATTTAAAATCAAAGGCTTATGAGTGCTCTCACGGCCCCATCCTGAAGTTCCCAGGTGCTAATTAATGACCAGACACAGCCTTAAAGAACCTTTGTCTCGGATTCATGCCTGTAATACTGCTCTATGGACAGTGACTCAGTGCTGCCTTCCCCTTTGGGAGAGGAGGCGGAATTGGGATCAGGGTGTTAGCAGGCAGGTGTTGCTCCATCCTTTAGACAGAGAAAACCCACTCCCAAGTTCTTCTTTCAGTTATGGAAAGCCAGAATGTGCTTTCCTAACAAGAAACTGAAGTGGGTAGGTAAGAATCTACCAATTAGAATTTTGCTGGCCTGCCCATAACTTCTATGAAATTCTGCAGAAGGCCTATCTGTGCTCTAACTGTTCGGCAAAGTGAAGTCTCTCCATTCATGAGGCATCCACGGGGGCACCTATGATGTACAGAAAAATGCATCCGTGAATGCTGTTAAGATACAGGGCTGGAGGCCTCACAAGGGCTGGGGCAGGTGTACAACGAGGGGCTGAGCTTCCTTAGTGTGAAGAGACCTGCGGTTAGGGCCGAGCCCTGTTCAGGTGACGGGGACAGATGGCCCTTCTTCCCAGTTGAAACTGCCACTATCTGCCCAGATCTAGCCGTTCCCAAAAGGCCTGTCTTGCCTCTGCCTTGACTTCTTGTCTCTTTGTTTGTTTAAATCGTTTGTTTCTGGATTTTTGTTTGGCCCTGAGTATACCTCCACCATTGCCTGGATTTTATCGCTGTAAATAATGCACATCAAAGATGTCGAGCTAAGCAAATAAAATGAGCCGGGAGCGGTGGCACACACCGTTAGCCCCAGCACGCAGGGAGGCAGAGGCAGGCAGATCTCTGTGAGTTTGAGGCCGGCTTGGTCTACAAAGTGAGTCTAAGACAGCCAAGGTTACACAGAGAAACTGTCTCAAGAAAAGAAAAGAAAGAAACAGACAAGAAAATGGGGAGGCTGAGAAAGCTCAGTCAGTACTTACTCTGCTGAGTCTGCAGACCCTGGGTGTCCCTGCATGCACTTGTAATCCCAGTACCAGCAGGACAGAGATGGGTACTCCCTGGGACTCACTGACCAACAAACTTGGGCGCGCGCACACACACACACACACACACACACACACACACAGATCCAAAGATAATAGGTACTGCAAGTGTGGCTCAGTGGTAGAATGCTTATCCAGCATACATAAAGCCCTCGGTTTGAACCGCGACAACAACAGTAAAATGGCAGCTCTCTATGACTTGCATGTTTTAAAAAACTAAGAAACTTGGAGTATGCTTAGGACTCAATTGAAAATAGTCCTGCAGGTTTAGTGATGAGGAAGGGTGGGATATGCAATAAAATGGGGTTAGCCAGGAGGTATTTGGTGGTGTGGGTGAGTGGATTCATGGGGGTTCGTATTGTTGTTCTACTTATGAGATTTGCTTTAATAATGAAGAAATTGCAGAATGGGTGGTTAGGGAGCGGAAGGAAGGAAGATCTTAGGTGTGTGAATTTCCTCAGACAGCTGGGTGAGGTGAGAATTGGTGAGTGATGGAAGCCGCCTAAGATGCAAATGGTCTTCGCTCGTTCCCTGCATGGTGTTTTCAGATCCTATTGCTTGTGTAAAATTCTCAGGACAGTCCTTTGAGAGTGAGTCCCTTTGATGTACACTCAGACATTTATATAGGGGAAACCACAAAGGAGATCCAAAAGACAGCAAGGTTTTTCCCCAAGGTCAGATGAGGGCTCGGTGACCTTACTGTCCCTTGGCTGTTGTCTGCAGTAATGCCCTTGAAGGGCTGGCTTCCTTGTCAAGGTCTTCCGTGTCCAATTATCTCACCGCAGACTTGAGAATCTTCAGATAAGCATGTAAGTCCAGAAAGCCAACATACAAGAGAGAAAGGGGAGGGAGGGAGAAAGAGGGAGGGAGAGAAATTGTTTAGACATACGAGGGAGCTGTCTTCCCCTTGTAATCTGCACATCTGTTTTGTTGATTCTACCACTACTTTTAAAACCATATACTCAAACATCAGCAGTGTGGTGGTGTAGGCATGACAGTCAAGATGCAGCTGCAGCTAGATGTCATACTAAGCGATTTTAGTTGCTCTCACAGAGGCGGGCTGTCACATTTATCTTTCATTGACGGGTCTTAGATTTTATGTAGATGCTTAAACTCATAGAGGGTACAGGTATGAAAATATAAGAAACTGTGTAGGGTAACAAAGGAAACGAACAAGAAGGGAGAGGGAAAGAAAAGGCATGTAGGAGATACGGCCAACTGCTCAAGTACACTGTATACTTTGATGAAAATGGCCTTGTGTAACGCGAATACAGGAAGCCTCATGGAATATTCAGTCAAGTGATGAATCTTGGTATCCACAGATGCCTTGTCTTGAGAACACTTAGAAAGAACTAGTATCTACTTTTCCTTGGCCCTAAGAAGGCAGAATGTTCTAGAAGATAATCTCAGGGCCAGATCTTCTGGGGACAGTGCATTTATTCCTACAGATGACTGAGCTCCTTATAAATGTTCTTATTATGATCTTTGTAAATGTTGTAAAATCTCTAAATATATGCATTACCTAATGTACCCAAATTCCAGATGAGCCAGTTTAACTGGCAGGCATTGCTTTTCACAAGGGTGAAATGCCAGGGTCAGTCTGGTTGATTGCTGAGGTCCCTTCCTGCTCCGCAAGTCCACAATCTGACATTGAGTCTTGATTCTGCCGCCCTCTTCAGAGGTGACCAACAGCCCCACCATGCCATTTTGGAGGACCCCTACCTCTCTCCCTCAACCCTCTGTCTTTCTGGGCTCCTAAGATCTCCATAAAAGTGATTCAATTTATTGAAGGTCAAATTCTGTGAGTCATTGCTGTTTATACTGTAAGCTCTGTCTAGTGAGCAGCCATAGACGCTTTTAAATCTCTGCAAAGCGGCTGTTAGAGAAAACTTAGTTCCTTGAAGCCCTTTAATTGAGCACGGTACAGGAAGAAATGAAAGTGCTGCCAAATGTCACACTGATGAGTAACTTAGCTGGAGGGTGTAGACACTGCTTACTAACGCAGAGCAAAACACAAGCCCAGCTTCTCGCCATTGAGATATGATTGGTTGGGGTACAGGAGGATTTTAGGCATGCAGGCACCTCAGAGGGCTCTGAACTGCATTCTTGCAGGATGGGAGTTCACAAAGGCATAAGACTCCATCTTTGACATGAAAGAGCTGAACACAGTTCACTATGAAAGTAAGACTTGTGTTGCACGTTTGTCTTATGGCTCCTACTAAGTACCGGAGGTGAGGGCTGCCTTTCAGCTGAGCCTAACAGAATGGCTAAGGGGCAAGCTGTGGGGGGTAGCACTTGGGAAGCAGAGGCAGGCAGATCTCTGTGGGTTCAAGACCAGTGTGGTTTATATAAAAGACCTTTGTCTCAAACTAAAATTTTTTTAATAAATAAATAAAATAATGCTTAGAATTTAGGGAGTAAAGAAAAAGAGGCCGTTATAGATAGAGAAAACTCAGGCACAAATGCAAGGCATAAAGACCAAAGTGTTCTTTTTCTATTTCTAGTAGAGATATGAGGCCAATAGTTCGTCTATCCAAGTCAATTAAAAAAGTATTTTTCATAAACCCTTCTTTCCCATCTCTGAAAAACACTTGACAAATCATGCAAGTAAAAGATCACATAAGCTATGACAGTTTACCCTAGGTATCAACCATATGGGAAAACTAATTCAATAAGAAAATTCAGTAAGTAATGGTTGACAGTTTAAATACTGATTAAATACAAGGGATATCTATTGAAATATAACACGTTTTTATTTTTACCCTGCAAATTACAAGGGGTCTTGAAAAGTATGCTCTGTGGATAAGCATCAGGTTTTTGTGTTGGAGCCCTTCCTTAGGACTAGGTGAGTTCAGTAGAAGCAACTTTTATGGCAAAGACCCTAAGACTCAGATACATCAGTGATACAGCCTCAAGCCTGTGTCTCCATCCCAGCCCACATACTTCTACTCCAACAAGGATTGGAAGCCTTGGCCAAATGCAGCCACCAACTGATTTTGTCAATGAGTTTATTGGGGAAAGCCATGCTTTTATTAAATTACTGTCTGTGTCTGCTTTCAAGCCACAGCACAAACATGAATACAATTGAGTCGCTCCAGAGAGCCTATGGCCACAAACACTTTAATATTTACAGTTGGCCTTGTAAATATTAAGCGGATGCCTCGTGTTCCCCATCATGGTTCCCATGAACAGTCAGTATGAGAACCTCAGGCATAGCGTAGGCTGGGAGTGCAAGAAACACAGCCCTTCCTGGCAAGGAATGTGTGCATTTTGGGTGATGAGGCATGTCTGAGGCACATGAAGAGGACAATAACAGATGATGTAAGTGAACGGACAACTTCAGGACTGCGGGCTGTGCTTGCAGGACAATGCAGAACAGTTGCAAGAGCATCATTAACACAAATAAAATACTCTTCAGTAGCAGATTCTTTGCACATTTAAATTTGTAGCCACATTTGTTCATCTGTTCAAAAATCATGTTTTTGCTATGTGTGAGACATTATTTTAGGTGAAAGACACAGGATTGATCAATACTTTGATCCTTCTGCCTCAGCCTCCTGAGAGCTGGGACTACAGGTGGATATTATCACACTGGGCTCTGAAAAATCTTTTTTTAATGAAGTCATTTTGATTTTCACATAAGTAGATTTTATGTTTATCCCTTTCTTGACCTT